CACGGGGGGTTTGGGAAAGTATGAATATTATCATTTGCATGAATGTCTGATCTCATAAAAATAACACTTATCATTTATGACAAATAACTGATCTCTTAAATTCCAGTAACATTTTGATTTGTTAGAAATAACACATCTTTCCTTGAACACGTATCATCTAAGACTGTGCATGACTCTGATCTCTTGTACCCTTCCCATTCAGCTTCACTTCCACTAACATGATTTCGGTATACTGCAATTTCATTCAACAATTAAGAACATCATAGTCACTAGTACAGGCATTAAAACCGTCGAAACATGCAATTGCTAATGGTAAAAAAAGAGTGACCAGTTATACGATGCCTTTTTCTTTATCGAGTCTCTCTGAGCCATTCCTTGAGCCTGGGGCTATCTGATCCTCCTTGTTTGGTCCTCAGTATCAGATCCCTCTTGTTTGGTCCTATCAATAATAAGACTACAGCAGAGATAACAATAACAGTAATATACACATTTCTGACTTGGAAAGACTCCTTGGATTTGATGAGCTCTTGATCTCCACCAAGAACACTGACATGCATGAAGCTTAAACACACTCAAGGCTAGTAGCTCTGCTTTATCGCCATCTCTACTGGTTAACACGCCTACTCAGGGATATAATATACTAACGTGATAATAAATCCCTGGCCTACTATAGGCGGGGTGAGGATCACGTGATGAGGTGAAGTCTTAGAAAATCGTAGCTACCACCATCACTTGAATAGCTACATCGATTAGCTACATAGATAAAAAACATCCATTATGAAATTGACGCATTAATGAGGCGATGCGCTTCGCGCATCGCCACACTACCTTTCCATATTTATATTATTGATGAGGAATTTTGTCCAGGATGGCGTTCCATAGTCTCTCACCATCATTATTATACACAACTTCATGATCGATCGAAGGATCGATCGATCGATCGATTCGCATGGAAGATCTATCTCCAGGCCTCACGTGATACATAGGCGTGGTCCTTTTTAATCACGTGATCTCGTTATGATGGCGGGTGAAGGCACTTATGCTCTACATGATGAATTATTGGATTTTGTGGAAGAGCTATTGGTTAGTATCAGTTCCAGAGACTTCCAGCAGAGATCAGAAAGGTTTGAAATTTATAATAAATATTAATAATAAAAACAATAATTATAATTATTAATGATAGTATGGGAATCAACTGAGAGATCAATGTAATTTGTTAGTGGCTCAGTACACATAAGTTTAGTTTTAATGCTGCTTTTTGTGGGTTACTTGTAGACTTGTGATTTTAATTATTTTATCAAAATAATGAAAATGATTTTCACTTATGTCTTGTGTACCGTTTTTTAGTTATGCTGATATTTTAGATGTCATGAATCGTTGTTTCGAATTTATAGTTTACATTGATGGCATATCCTTAGATTTTGGTACTCTTCTCGAATCGCTTCAGGAAGTGATGAATGCATTGGAATCCATAGAGAATAACACCCAGTTTAGAGGTAGACCTCGTCTTCAGATAGAGGCTGATCAGTTGCAGTTTTTTATTGATTGTTGTTTTCGTGTGAAAGATATAGCTGATATGTATCATTGCTCAAAACGTACAATTGAAAGGAGAATGCAAGAATATTCTATTAGGGCAAGTAATTCTTCAACAATTTCAGATGGTGAGCTAGATAACCAGATATCAGCTTTACTTGCTGTTCATCGACGAATTGGAGAAAAGTCAGTTATTGGTCATTTACGCAGTTCTCACATTTACGTGCAAAGACATAGAGTGAGGGAATCAATTCGACGTGTTGACCCTATTGGTATACAAATACGGCATCGTACTGCATTGCATCGGAGACAATATTGTGTGAGAAGCCCAAATTCACTATGGCACATCGACGGATATCACAAACTTGTTCGTTGGAACATCGTTATTCATGGTGCTATTGATGGCTTCAGCCGTTTAATTACATATCTGAGAGTATCACCTAACAACAGTTCACAGAGTGTACTTAGGGCATTTTCTGCAGCAGTATCTCAATATGGGATTCCATCCAGAATTTGTATTGATAGAGGAGGAGAAAATGTTTTAATTACAAGATGGATGCTGGAGCACCCCCTTCGCGGTGTTGGTAGACACAGTGTCATAGCTGGGCGCAGTGTACACAATCAAAGGATCGAAAGGTTATGGAGGGATTTATATTCTGGATGCATATGTTTCTTCTACAGTTTTTTCTATTACTTGGAAGATATAGGCATTTTGAATAAAGATGATGTTTTTGATAAATATGCTTTGCACTTTGTATTCCTTCCCATAATTCAACAACAGCTGGATACATTTAGAGAAGGCTGGGCTCATCATTCACTACGGACTATGAACAATCGAACACCGTTTCAGTTGTGGGTTCTTGGCTTGAGCCATGTACAATCATATGATTCAGGATGTGATGAAATAACTGGTCTAATGGAAGTATGTCATTGTATTATTACTTATAATGTTCCATTAATCTTATTTTTAGAATCCTGAACTTTATGGAGTTGATTGGGATGGTCCGGCTTCAACTGATAATGATACTACTGTGGTGGAGGTCAATGATCTTCCTAATTTACTATCTGAAGATCATGTTTCTAACTTGAAAAGCCTCATTCCCAAATTTGATACACTCTCAGATGAATGGATGATTAGCAGCTATACTATTGCCAAAATGTATGTGCATGAAAACTCAATTTATGAAGTCAATTGAATTACTGTGTTATTTTTAATAATAATTATTATTATTCACTGGATCACGTGATTCACCACCTTGATTAGCTAGTTTACTGATTTATATTGAGCTTGGTTAGATCTACCGTATACTCGCTCAGACAACGTGCAACATGGAGGACGAGGAAGAGAAACGTGTTCTTTTGGATTTAAGTCCATCCAAGGCAGAGAGAGCGAGAGAAGCAATTGAATTCTTGTCTTCTCTTCCTGGTCCAAGCGGTGCCGCAAAGAGTACGCTACCACAGCGTAGTTCACGTCAAAAGGCTAATACTAGTAGCAGTGCCCTTAGTCGTAGCCAAAGTGAGTCGGTACTATATGTATAAAGGGTGGAAGAGTAGATTTTAGAAGCAGTCGAATTTTGTAGCCATGACTTGTGACTGGTCAGGCATGGCAAGGGGAAGACCATGTCAGGCGGTTTTTGTCTTTGTTATTGGTTAATAGAGCTCTTTCATGGGTGTAATCAACAGGAGGGTGTAGCTAACTTGAATTGTCGATGTCTGCCATGGCAAGAATGTAATGGGAGGGAATGGAGGAAAAAAATCTGAATAAATTCTGCTGTTTACATTCTAGGCTAGAGAAAGGTAGAACATGCATGAAGGTATATTGAGTGAAGAATTCTCTATAGTATTCTTCAGTGAAGTATCAGTGATATCTCTGCTATGATGAAAATTCTCAGTTTGTTGTATACCTCCATTTGTTGAGTGTAAACTCATGGTATGGTGGATGGTGTAACTCCACCTTCCCATTAATTACATCTGTGCCAGAGCTCTATAGAAGCAATTTCAGTAATAATTATAGTAATAATTATATGCTCCACCCTATGTTAATTCAATAACTATAATTAAAAGGGTGAATTATTAGTGTAAAATAGACACTCTATTTTTGTGGTATTTCTACTCAGTTTTACCAAATTAATACCATGCAGTGACTTATCACTGACTTGACCCTTAAATTATGTCTTGGTATTTTAGCAAACCTTGATGATGCAACTACCAATGCATTATGTGCTCTTAGAGCCTTACGAGAAGGAAACCTGGGAAAGAAGAGGAAAAGTAACGTGGTACAGGAGATAGTGAAGAAGAAGAGAGGTTCTGTGTGGCGGCATAACTTTTATTGCTTGGCATATACTGGTTAGTTAGTATTATCTGTATGAATATAGTTTATAGCTATAGTTACAGATAAAGCGACATGTACATGTATTTGCATAAGCCTTGCAATGTATATAGTTTAGCTACACTAAAGACACGTCTATACTATAGTTACCATTGGATATAATTCTAAATATCTGAACTATGGAGCTTACTTGTAACTCTTCATTTGTATTTTGATTTTATGTGCTTCAAAGTGAATTTGAGACTCAGTAGATAATTAACACTCTGAATCCAAAGTTTTAATGAACATATTTTATTTAATTGCAGGTCAAACTCATATTCCAGTTAGTGAAAGTGAGAAAGATCAGCTCCGAAATGCAGGGCTGGGATCAAAGGATATCACCCTTTGTCTTGATGCTAGTTATGATGAGTTTCAAGCTGAAATTATAGATACTTTTCCTCAGTTAAGGGATGGAGGTGGTTATAGATTTTTGAAAGGTATGAATTATAGTGTAATGAGACAATTCTTATGTTTTTGTCAGGAACTGCTAACTCTAAAACCTTAACACTATTGTCTCATCACTGTCATAAATCCCCACGTCATTTGAAGGAGAGTGTTGGGAAACGCACTTATATAAGACCGGTACAAAAAGATTTAGATTTAACACCTATTGATGCTAGTGATGACGAAGAAGTATGTCAGTAAAGCTTTTTTGATATTTTTGTATGTATAATTATGTAGATGACAGAAGTTTGCCTTACTTGTGATAGGAAAGTCCCATTGGCTATTTTAGAGGATCATATTATTACTTGCAATAATAAAAAGGACAAGAAGCAAGCTTATTACTTTATGTCACTGCAACATTCAGGGTTTGTTTTATAGGTCAAAGAAGATTGTAGACTCTATTGATCTGACACATGATGGTGGCCATGATACTAGTAGCAGTAGTGAAAATGAGGTATGTTATTGGGGGCCTTGCAGAATAGTATTTTTATTCCAATGTAGGATCTTCCAAGAGTAAGTTTTAAGAAATTTGTTCCCAAGAAGGTAGTTTAGTTTTTTATAATATTTTTGTTTACTTTACGTATTTTAGTCTCTAGATGAGCTCGCAACAGAAGAGTCCTTGCTAAGTCATGCTGTAACTGAGAGTAGTTTTGCAACTACTGGGTGTTCAGACAGGTATTTTCTCATTCTATTAGTAGTCTTGTGTGTCATGATATTTTTATTTTTAGTACTCTTATGGTTAATGACATTTTTATGGCCATCAAGGCCGTTTGTACTCCTGTATCTTTGGATGTGACTAGGATTGAGGTGAGAAGGTCTTCTGTGCTACAGGATGGGTTAAAGGAGGTTGGGAAACCAAAGTTCAAACCATGTCATACTTTAAAGGTATTTGTGGTAATACAGATTATAGACATTGCACTCATATACATGAACATGTAAATACTGTATATTGGATAGTTTGTGATTTTCGAAAATTTTGGAGAGTAGAAATGACATTAGAATAAAATTTGTTGCATTTCTATTTCACTAAACATCTAATGGCTTTATTAGCATCTCTAATAGCTGCAGGACTAATAGCATCAGAAAGACATTTTCTGGAAGTGATGCTTCCAAGTGAACAGCCATTTTGACATAATGTGTTCTATGCTTATTATGGTGACACCTATACATATATTGCCAGAATTAATTTTTATCAAGAGTTTAATTTCGAAAGTTCAGAATTAATGGCAATGAAACTGATGAAAATAAGCACCCATTGTAAATTATACCTAGTATGGTAATATGCATACATATAATGTCTGTTATATTATTAACCTTTACTAGTGTAGACATAAACTTTTATTTCAAGTTATTCCTAGCTGCTTTCAAGTTTTTGTCTATTATAGGTCTCATTTGTTGGTAAAGGAGCAGTTGATTGTGGTGGGCCACGGCGAGAGTTCTTTAGATTGGTGGCTCTCGAAGCTAAAGACAAGTTTTTTACAGGGGGCTTGAAGAAGTTCTTTTTATGTGACATAATGGCTATTCAGGTAAATTTAATGTATTTCTACATTGTAATAAACAGGATTTCCCACAAAGTACCGTATTTCCTTGAGTAATTGCCGCTCCCGAATAGCCACCTCCCATGGCTATGGTAGTCAAAGAAGTTACTGCCCCCTTCAAATAGATGCTGCATATAATATTATTCATTATTAATAATAACTAATTATTAATAGGTAATTAATTAATTAATGAGTAAAATAGCCATCTAGTCACAGTTGAGTAGTTGCTTTATCCTATCGATTAGTTTTTCTTTCCAGTAAAGGTATAGATACATGGTACATCTAGACCCTTTCCAAATGCAATTTTCCCATTTCCTTGAGCTTCTATTTGACTTTCCTAAAGGAAGAAATACGATGCAACTTGTGAGAACTCCCTGGGAATGAAGAATGGCTCACAATACAAAGACACTTATTAAAGAGGAAACATCTATACTCCTGTAGCCGAGGTAGAAAATGACAGTTTTCCTTTTGCAGACCTGGAACTGGAAGAAGATGATGGGGTATATTTCACAGGGATTTTATTTCACTAATTTAACATTTTAAAAAAATTTATGAAAATTTTTATTTGTGAAATTTTTTTTTTCATACTAATAGTCAGTAGAAGAAAAATGCAAAAAATTTCTGGTGAATAGGTTGAAAGGTGATTTTCATGAAATATTTTCTCCAGGAAATATACCCCCTATGTGGTAGTTAATTGATAATGAATCAATAATTTTATTACTTTGTTTAAAAAGTAAAAATTAATGATAATAAAATTCATTTTAATAATCACCTCCTTATAGTTGCCTTCCTCCTTAAATGAACAAATAAAATAGATGCAGCTTTTACTCGAGGAAATACAGTGTATGCTAAGTGAACTAAACAGCATACTTTTTGAGTATACAGTACATGGCATTTAGAGTTACTTTAATTCATAAATATCCAATTTTAATCGGAATCAGCTCAAAGTTAATGCACAGCATAAGTATTGTATATGTATCAGAAAAATCATAGTTATAAAAATAGAAATTATTTTCTTTTTATTTATGGAGAAATTTTGCTAAAGTTCTGGTACTTTAATATAGGGACTTGGCACAATTTTTGAGTAATTTTACAAATTCGTATAAATTCAATTTCGATTGGAATCAGCTCACAGTTGATACACAACATAAAGATGTGTAGGTGTCAGGAAAATGTTGAATTCTCTTGTTGTGACTTTTTGTCAGAGTCTAATTTCCTAAGATTAGCACTGCAGTATGTTGGAAACCCTGATTATATCCACTTGGGGCTGTGCTGTATTAAAATTTATTACATTTTTGTACTAATTTTTAGAGAAATGATTATTTTAATTTTGGCTGTTTGATGGCAATTTCAGTGATTCAAGGGGGTGGGAGGATGCCGTTTTTACACGATGAAGTGTACCAGCAGATTATTGATGGTACAAAGATGGAAGTGAAAATAGCCGATCTACCAGATGGGCACTTAAGTTATGTGTGTAAAAAGGTAATTGAACTTTTTTCATTTTAATACTGTAATTTAAATTTTAAAAATAGCTAGAAGAAATTGAGACAGATGAGGAAATGAAAGTTTTGCTAAACAGTGATGAAGTTGTATCTATGCTACATGAATGTGGCTACAGGCGGCCGATATCAAGTCTAACTTTAGAAGACAAATCATCTTTGTCGTCACTATTAATTAATTATCATCTTTTTGTGAAGCCAAAGGCTGCAGTAGATCAGTTTTTGAAGGGTTTAGAGACACTAAATGTTCTCACTTTAATTAAAAAGTATCCTGTTTTGGCCAAACCATATTTCGTAAATGTACAGGATCCACTCACAGCAGGTGCATGTAATGTTTTTTAGATGAAGTAAAGCATTTATTCACTGTCCAGTTCAGTGAGTTGGGTACAAATGTGAGGCTAAGAGAGGAACAGACATGGGTCCATTTTACAGATTTTATAGATGAGTGTGAAGGTTAGTGTAAGTTTAATAATATATATGTTTTATATCTTGCTAAATTGTAGAGGGAAATCTTAAAGTAGCATTGAAGGACTTGCTAAGTTTTGTCACTGGATCTTGCTTTGTACCTCCAGAAGGTTTTCCTGTAAACCCATGTGTCATCTTCAATAATCAAACTCTTTGTACTGCCACCACTTGTGACATGACACTGAAGTTACCCCTGTACGAAAAGTATGATGACTTCAAGGAAGCAATGACTATGTCTGTAGTGGGAAATGATGGGCTTGGTGCTGGTCCTTAATTCCAAAATAATTTCATTTATATACTTCCCATCATTTTGTGACTCAAGTTCTTTTTGCATTTATCATCTTTTTTAAACTGTGATTGAATTGATGCGTGCTTGGAATGAGTCTAATCAACCTACTTGTAGATAAAGTGAAGCAGTTGTCTTGTAAGACTTTAAAATGTGTTTGCAGTTGTTTTTTGTCAATACTGCAAAAGTAAGTGTGTAAATTTTATTTATGAAAGATGCTGAAAGTTTTTATGCTAAAAGAGTAAAAAATTGGTCACCTTTTTTGAGCTCCAAAAATAATTTTTTAAAGAAATTAGTGCATGATGATTCATGGAATTGTTTTTTGATGGGATAATGGCATAGAAACTAAGGATCAGTATGCATGTATTCATGCATAGAGGATAGGATAGCTTAGAAGAGCATAGCATACAGCAGCTCAGTTGTGACATCATTGAAGACAGCATAAATCAGCTGTCATCACTATTATTGTATGTACTCAATCAGTGCAATTATTATCAATAATCATCAAATCTGTACTTCATACAACTCAAAAGGTCACTCACACCATAGATCAGAATTGCACTGCTAACTCACTTGAAAAATCATTTATTATTATCCCACTACTGTATTGAGCCAATAGGTCAATTTCTCATCCCTGAATCAAATGAAGAACCTTTGCCTGGACAGCTTTTAATTGGCTTTTATGGTGTGGCATTAGTTCATGGACTGCTATCGCATTATAATAATTATTAAAAACAATTTTAGTAACAAAAAACAAATATAATAATACACAACAATGCATAATATAAAATTATAAATGTTCATGCCCAGATCTTCAGATTCTGAATGACAAGTCTACAAACATGGAAAGAAACATAAAACGAGAAAATGCATAATTGAATTTACTTGAATGCAAGACTCATTGATAGTGTCAGTATCTCCTAAACTTGTGCATTGAGAAAATGGTGACACTAAAGAGATAGAGAAACCAAAAAAGGAAGGTGTACAGCACTGAATTTATTATCACAACTAATGATTGCCAGTAATGGCAATGGTGATTGTATTGCCATCTGTGCTCAAAAGCAATGTCAATAGTAATTGGTTTATCTGAGACATAATGAAAAATACATCCATGTACAGTCATCAGTGACATAGGCCTGTGATAATTACCATTACAATTACTCAGTAATCCATTAACTCAAATACATGTACATCACATACCACTTACCATTGCATTACTGCATAATCTCAAGTCTCAACACATCTTTTTCTTAAATACATTAATGTCCTTGGAACAAACTGTTTCTTGATTATGAGTAGGTAACGGCACTAAAAAGGGAAAGAGATGGTAATTTTAAGTATACATTGATGTTGAATTTTCTTAGCATTTTGTCTTTCCAGTCTCCTGTACAATAAATAATACATTATTACTGATCAAATGACATTCACTCTCTCTCCTTTACTGTACAAGTGTACATGTACTGTAATGTGAATTGTGTCTTACCATCATGTTGTTAGGACACACAATGCTTCTGTTACACAAAACTGTACTATAATAATAAATAATACAAAAAACGTGACATTGATGTACATACTATTTATGCTAAAAATATTTTTATATTATTTATAGGACCAAACAAGGGAAATAAAATAAGATTGAGAACCAGATCAGTAAGCCTCAAGGAATGGTCCAGACAGACCCAATAAAGGAATAGGGATTTTATAATTCGTGTCAGTATCAGTACAAATATTAGTGACTCTTTTAAACATTAACAAGAACATGAGAGATAAAAGAATCCTTTATTGCATCATAATCAAAATGAATACAGTTCAGACTTTAAACAAAGCAGCCCTTGGTTTCTATACTTCACCAACAACACTCACATCAGAACTATTGTTCTCAACTATGGAGACCTCAACTGATCAAGGACATTATTTCGTTAGACAGAATTCAAAGGCGTTCTACGAAATTTATACTTAATGACTATCAATCAGATTATAAAACTTGACTAATGAAGTTGCATTTACTTCCCTTAGTGCACTTCTTTGAGCATAGCGATATTCTATTTTTCATCAAAAATCTCAAACACCCTTCGCCAAACTTTAATATACTGGATTATGTTCTTTCTGTTCTGGCCCAGTCTCTACCTGATCAGTCACTTCCTGTAAGCTTCAACACTGATTTACTACATCAAACAAGGCAAGATTCTTTTACTTCAATCGTCTCCCTGTGTTATGGAACTCACTCCCTTCTGTTGATCTTTCCCTTTCCTTCCTCTCTCTAAAATTATCTATTTTTAATATATTTTTTGAATCATTTTATCATTAATTTTGACTCCTCTCTGCACTGTTCTTTTCATTTCAAATGCCCTTGTGATAAATGTTATTCTAACTAATTCCTATTTTTCTTTACACTCTTATCATTTCCTTTACTCTGTATCTCTGGTCCTCCGCTATGCGGTAGTACCTTCAACTTAGCTATTTTCCTACTCTTCTTGTCTTTTTACTCTGTCACCATAGTTCAGTGTGAAGTTTAAATAAATAAATTAATAAATAACACTGACACTCTCAGTTTGATTGTCTGAGTCTGTCTCGGTGTTGGTGTATACTGTCAAAATGAGTGTTACAGATTTTCCACACATCTAAGGAGCTACATAAGTATTACTACAACAATTACAATAAAACTAACCATTAAACCTCTTTAAACTGGATTAACTTGCTGACAATTTTCGACGCCATCTTGGTTTCTTGAAAGCAGACACGCCTATTATAGGAGGGGCAATGGTCACGTGATGATGAGAAGAAGTCGTTAAGTGAAGATCCGGTATATCCATCAAAAAACCGATCACGGAATCGATGCATTAATGAGGCGATGCGCTTCGCGCATCGCCGCTGTATCTTTTTTATTGTTTAATTATTAATTTTTTTGGCGGACTTGGCGTTCCATACTTCTCTTCTTGGGAAGCTCTCAGCTTCTTCTTCATCATGAAGATGGTCTGCTTCATCCTTGCCAGGATACGGACTAAGCCAGCCCACGTGCAGCATGGACTGATCAGTGATCATCAGTGGTCAGATCCACTCTGGATCGATCAGATCAGCTTTAATAGTCCGGTCACACCCCTTAAAAATAATGTAATGGGTCAGTCCTTTGATATGATCATGATAAAGTA